GGGGCGGTGCGGGGGGTGCGTAACCCATCACCCGCCTCATATTTAAGCGGGGAGAAAATAATTCCCCCATCCCCATACCCGCCCCACCCCACCACCCGCCCCAACTCCCCCCCCCCCCACGAGGTGGTTCCCCACGGGTCCCCACCCCCATTGTCATCCTTAGTTGGATCCTAGGCCTATTTTATCCCGTGCACGGCACGAGATAAAAAACACTTTTATATTTTAAGTTTTATTATAGTGTGTAATGAAAAATATTTGATGGTGTCCATGTCGCTCCATGATATCTAAAGAGAGTGGATGGATGAATAAAGATGTAGACATGCATCGCAACTTGATCTAAGGATGCTTTTACTTAGACTGAAATTTGTTGGTCTGGTTTGGTCTGTTTAGGTCTGGTCTTGTCTTGTCTAGTTTGAACTGGTCTAGTCGGGTCTGGTAAACATCTGGTCTCTGTATATTTTATAACTAAGAAATTCAGGTCTGGTTTGTTTAAGTCTGGTCTGATCTGTTTAAGACTGATCTGGTCTGGTATGGGACTAAAAACAGTCCAAGTAAAAGCATCCTAAATTGGTAGTACACCATCTTTTCAATCCTCATCTTTTCATCGATTGAACACCAACATTATCTTTTCAATCCTCATTGTGAACTTTTGATTATTGTAAAAGGCTTCATACACTCAATGAGGATATTATGTACATTATTTGTTTTTAATGTTGTAATTTTATATATATTTTTTATCATCAAACGGGCCTCTATTCATATCAAAAGATTCAGGATCATTACATCAAGTAAAAGGAAAATAAAACTGACACCAAGTGAAACTTCAACAACTACGACTGTAACCCTATGGTGAGACTTTGAGACGGTCACCCCTGAGAGAGCAACACGAATCGCTAACCATGTAGTGGGTTTGACACAGCCAAACCTATTCCCATAGATCCAACCATACCCAATGACATAAAGAGAGGCAAAAAACTCAAACAAACTGTCAAAACCAACAACAAAAGTGGACACGAGAAAACAAATAACAAACAGATAGAAACTACAAGAATAACGTTCACGAACTCTAACACCTCGTACATCCCATGGTGGTGGTTCAGGAGGAGGTCTTACCACCGGTAGCATGTTAATTGATACTCTGTGACCTTTGGCTGCCAAAGGCCATGCATCAATCCCCCGTCCCTGCATAACCAAACTCATCCCTGCCCCATGCAACCAGAGTAAACGGATAGGCGGCACCAATCTTCTCCAACAACGACAGCAACGCATCATCCTCGAACCTTGACCACAACGCCGATCTCTTCGAGCCTTGACAGCAAATCCGCCCTTCGAGGACGAAGCACAAACAACAGCAGTCGTCCTTCGATTAAAATCGAAGACGGAAATAGTGGCCGTCCTTCGATTAAAATCGAAGACGGAAAAAGCGGCCGTTCTTTGATTAAACTCGAAGACGGAAAAAGACTCCAAGCGGCCGAAACCCTAGAGAGAAGCGAGTTATATTTTATTTATTCGACTGTTTAATACTGATCTGGTCTGGTATGGGACTAAAAACAGTCCAAGTAAAAGCATCCTAAATTGGTAGTACACCATCTTATCAATCCTCATCTTTTCATCGATTGAACACCAACATTATCTTTTCAATCCTCATTGTGAACTTTTGATTATTGTAAAAGGTTTCATACACTCAATGAGGATATTATGTATGCATTATTTGTTTTTAATGATGTAATTTTATATTTTATTTATTCTCTCAAATTGTTTTCATTTTTGTCCCCGTATACATTTCGTTTTGTTATTTTATTATATTCGTAAGTGGAAACCGAGAGTTAGGTACTTACCCCATTTATTTGGTGATTTACCCTATGGACCGTAGCTTTTCAATCTGACGTAGAAGAGTTTCAAGGTGACATGAATTCTAATCTAATTTTTAATTTTAACATGAATTCTAATCTAACTTTTAACTCTAATCTAAGGTACTACGTACTACAATTAATTAATTAATATACTCACATAGTCACATGATGTTAAATCGGAAAGAGATTCTAAAATATTCTAATGAATGATTGCATAGAAGATGACTTGTAGCAAAACTTTCCATAATTGTATCTTTGAAATGTATGTATTACTTATAGATAGATGGTATTACTCCTAAATGAGATCAAAAGTAGCCCAAAATTCCACAGTAAGATTATACTCCCTCTGTCCCGTTTTTTAGTTCTTACTTTGACCCTCACACATTTTTAGTAATTAAATTTGACTTTACTGTCTAGACACTATTTGGCACTACTGTTTGACACTGTTTTGCATTGTTTAACACTGTTTTGATGTAGGAAAACTTTCTATTTAGGAAAATGAGAAGATGATTTTGGGACGTCCCAAAAAGGAAAGAAGGAAGTTAATAGCGGGACGGAGGGAGTACTTCTTTTATTCTCAAAATAGGACTAATATATGTCACTTCTGTCTATTTTAACCCAACCTATAATTTCTAATAGATTTATTTATTAAGAAAAAATCATAGCTCTTTATCATAAACACATAAAAAAACGTGGCAATTTTTTTATAAATTAATAAAATCGTGAAAATAAAATAAAATATAAAAAATATAATAAAAGTAAACACAAAATAATATCAAAAGCTAAAACAATCTTAGAAGTAAAAATAAAATACCTAAAAATCTAAAAAGTATTTAAAATTTATTATATTATTATTAGTATTATTATATGGTAATTATAATTATAATTACAGAAAAATATTATAATTATAATTATAATTATAATTATAATTATAGCCATAATTACAATTAGTGTAATAGGTGTAATTAATATATTTTTAATTATAATAAATATAATTATGATTGTAATTGTAATTATACTTAAATTATTTTTAAGATAAAATTAAAATTTTAATAATTATAATTAAAGAAATATTCAAATCAGATCAGAAATATTGAGATTTGATCTGAAGAATTCAGATCAGATTAGAAAAATTCAGGCCAGATTAGAAAGATTCAGATCAGATCAGACTATATCAGAAATTTTCAGATCGGATCAGATAAGAAGTATTCAAATCAAATTAGAACTTTAAGAATTTAGAATAGAAACAATCAAATCAGGTGAGGAGAACGACTTCTTAGTCCTATTTTGATAATTTAAATTTTAAATTCCTATGGTTGCAATTATACTTTTTATTTAGTTATATTTAAGAAAATCTCTAATATACGGAGTATTATTCATTTATTCATAGATTCCTAGTTTCCTAAATATTCCTATTGTTCTTAGCTTAGTTGTACACGAGCAGGATTTAGATTCCTAATCCAACCGGAGATAATATTTCGGATTCCTAATCTCTCAACTATATCAGGTTATCCAACCCGGTCTTGTATCTAGGGGTGGGTTCGGTTTTTGCGGTTCGGTTCTGACCTAAAACCAAATATAGAATCAAAGTAAAAAGTTCGGTTCGGTTTCGGTTCGGTTTTACACTTCAAAACTTGGAACCACGGTTTGATTGGTTCGGTTTGTTTCGATTCGGTTTCGGTTTTTTCGGTTTTTTGCCAAAAAATTATCATTTGATTTAAAATTGTTATAATACTTTGAGGGATCAAACATATACATAGTATTACATAAAGAATGCAAGCACACTACAACAAATAAAATAAAAATTAAAAAAATAAATATGTCTTGAACTATACTATCGTATGAGTATGCGAGAGAGATAAAAATATATATTATTAATCTACATTGTTTGTGACTAGTTCAAAAAAAAATCATGAATATATAGTTATATACGTTCTATGGGATATAGTTGAGATGAATATTTATTGTTTCATCAATATGAATTCTTTAAGTTAAATAAAAATAAAAGTTAATTAATACTAATAAGGAAAAATTGATAGTAATAATCTCAACTATTGGCGGTCCGCTCATAATAATCTCAACTATTGATTATTACAGAATAATCCCAACTTTAGGGACCTTCCGCCAATAATGGTCCCTATGAATAAATTCTTGTAGTTTCTAAAGTGGATGAGATGAGATATAACAAGTAATCCCTATAAATAATCTCAACTTTTAATTTTTACGCTTAATTTCTATTTAAAATTCACTTTTTATAGAGGTAATATATGGTCATGGACCATTATTGGCGGATAGTCTATATAGTTGGGATTATACAAAAATAATCAATAGTTGGGATTATTTTCAGCGGATCGGCAATAGTTGGGATTATTATTTTCAATTTTTCCTACTAATAACTAGTAAAAACATATTATCATCATTTCGAATAGCTACATTATTACTGACAATGAATGTGTAAATGAATTTATAAACTAAATTAAACATAACACGAACATTATTTCTCTAGCACAAGAAAATCAAAGACTATTAATGATATTAGGATTTGTTAGGATTAATGTTTAACAATTGACAAATAAATTTTATATTTTAATTAGTTCGGTTTGTTCGGTTCGGTTCGGTTTTGAAGAGTAAAAATCAAAACCGAACCAAACAACTACGGTTCGGTTCGGTTTTTTACATTCGGTTTCGATTTGTTAGCGGTTCGGTTTTATTTGGTTACGGTTCGGTATGATTTGATTCGGTTTTCGGTTTTCGGTTTTTCGGACCCAACCCTACTTGTATCACTCTGAAGATATAATCCGTCCTTTACACCGCTAGGCTTATTATTTCTTGCGTTTCAGCAGGCCATCGTCCCAGGAATCCCATCATATACAAATAGGAGTATATTTTTGGTTAAGGGTTTCCATGAGGAATTTAGGATTGATGGGCAAAAAACCATTGCCCGCAGGCAGCGGGAAGGAAGACGAAGAAGAGGAAAGGGCATGCTGGGGCGATCTAAACGAGGAGCTGTTGTGCTGTATTTTGTCGCGTTTGGATGTGATGGGAGATGAGGTGAGCTTTGAGTGCGTTTGCAAATCATGGAAGTTGGCGGCGGCAAGAAGGATGATTCCGCCACAGGCGGCGTTAGCATCTCATCACGATCCTCCGCCTGCTTTAGATTCGGCGCCGCATCTGATGTACTTGAACCACAGAACTGGGAGGTTCAATTTCCATGACCCGACTCGCAGAGGTGCCACATATTCAGTACGCATCCCTGAACTATTGGGGGATTACCCGGGCGAGGTTGAATGTTATTATGCCAGCTGCGGTTGGCTGCTTCTTCGCAAGGGCCCCATGACATACTTCCTTTTTAACCCCTCCACCATGGATAGAATTGACCTTCCTCCAGTACGTGACATGCCCATCTCATTCGAATCCATGTGTTTCTCTGGTTCGCCCACTTCTTCCTCGTGCAGGATTGTTGGCTTTGTCAGTTATGTCCCAAAAAAAGTGGCCTTTATTGGAGAAACAATGGTGGGATGTGATTCTTGGTCCGTGTCTGTCAACACTAGCAACCCAGATGACTTCGTGGCATCCATATGCCCCCCCATTGTCTGTGATGGGAGCTTTTATGTTTTGGGTGAATCTGGGAATTTGGGATGCCTCTGGTTTCGACCTCCCAAAAAGGGACTGACCGAGGTTTTTTGGGAAGTTATTGGCAAGCCAGCAGATGAACTGTTTGAGACATTCAAAGATCAATTCCTCCTCGAAAGCGATGGCGACATCATGTGCGTGGCAACTCTACAAGGAGGCGGCGAAGTTTGTGTTCTCAAGCTTGATCCACACACTCAAGTGTGGCAAAAGGTGGATGATCTCCAAGGAAAAGCCTTGTACGTTTCTCAATCCGCATCCTTCTCCCTTAAAGCAATTCCCAGAGGAACCGGTAACAAGGTCTACTTTCCTAGATTCTACAACAACCGAGGACTGTTTTATTGCATGGGAACCAAGGAGTGGCGCAACTTTCCACATACTTTCTCAAGTACAAACTATTACAATACCAGTTCCTTACTTCATTCTGCCTGGATTCAACTTTCTCCTCATCATACTAGCTAGCTAGTTTAAATCACTTACTGCTCTTGTATAAACTTACCAACAACATTACTTTGTTTCAGATATTTATCTAATTTTATAATTGCTAAATTTGACTGTTAGTGATCCTGACTATTCATTATGAGAACGTTTAAAACTATTGTTCCCTGCCGGTATTCGTCGACATCAATGCAGTTTTCCTCATTTTAACCAATTAGAAGAAGCAAAAGGGACTGACATGGTTATCCCCTTTGTTGCATCTGTGACCTTGCGCTGAACTGAAATGATCAGGTCAGACAGTGGAACTCTTCTTAGAAGCGTGCCAATAGAAAGAACCAGGCACTACTTTGTTCCAGTTCAAAACCCCATTATATTTTATTAATATTCTTCTTAATAGTGATTTTTTTACAGAAGTAATTGCGATACTTTACAGGTAGCAATTTAGAATAAAAGAACCAAATCAAACGTAATATGAATCTTATAGAAATGCTCTACTAGAGTTTGCTTGTTCAGATCCACATGTCACGAAGCTTACCTGGAATTCATCCTCCCGATTCGAAGTTATTGGGTGGGCATAAAATGCAACAAAAATGGAACTAGAGTTATCCCTATCCATCTTCGAGAAACACTTGAGTTTTACTATGTGTTACGTTTTGGAAAAATTGATTCCCTAGAGAGACTTGAATGCTGCTATGCTTTAGAAAATAAAGAATTTGTTTGCATAGTACTCCTCCATTCTCATTGAATACTCAGCAAGGAATCAGTCCAATCTCTTGTAACTCAACGAGAATTTGTAACTCTGAGCTTCATTTTAGAATTTCTAAGAACGAGAATGTCCTTGGATATTTTTTCAATCAAAGTTCTTAATTGCATAACTCTTGATTATTTCTTGTGATCAGATTTATGTTCAACTAATGTTCTTAAAATGGTTACTCTAAGATAGATTTCTAATTCCGATTTAATATTTTTATTATTTATGATTAAAAATAGTTGACTTGGGAATATGGTTTAGAATAGGTTATTTACTTTATGTTTTTTTTATAAAAACGGAATCAACTATTATTAATCAAATCATTGTTCAAATACAACAAATATAACTTGGTGGATTATCAAATTAAAACCAGCCATCAGACATAGAAATAGCTGCCCTAGCTAGTTGCTAGCTAGTTGAAGAGAATCTTATTCAACATCAATGTGATCCCATCCAACACTCTTATTGAAAGTGCTTCAGCCTCCTTAGGGAGATTTTCTCCGGGCTTGTGAATAGCTCCCCCGGCTAGAAACAATCCTTCGTTATCTCTGGCAACCCATCCAAGTCCAATAGCACCAGACCCGCGATGGACAGCTTCGTCAACATTGACCTTATGTCAACCTGCCTCATGTCTGACCCAAAACGAGGCCACTGGAGCTACCTGTTTAGCCGTTGAACTCCCCACCTGGGCTCGTCGCCAAGCTTCCAGAGAGGAGTTTGCAACAGCTGCATTTCTGCTTCTCCAAATACTCGAGAGATACATGACAAAGCTGCTGCAAAAATTCTCATCCCTGCATCTAAAAGTCCATCTGTCCAGACCACAAAAGACTGCCCTGCAACTTGTAAGTTCCAATTCAAGGTTCACCATAGCTGTTGAGTCACTGAACACTCCATAAAGAGGTGTTCATCACTTTTGTTTTCTACTGCACACATAACACAAATTGGTGAACAATTAACTCTTTTCATTCTCAGTTTATCCGCTGTCGGAAGGCAACCAGAACACAGCTGCCAAAAAAGGCTTTCACTTTTGGAGGTAAATGTAATCTCCACATCTTTGTCCAAGCGAAATTTTGTACCACCGCTTCGCTGAAAGTCTTAAAATGATAAGCACTCTTAACCGTATTTCGCCCTTGCTCTTCCCAAGGCCAAATAAAACTATCTGGAATTTATCTCAAGCTCACCGGAATTCCAAGAATCATCACTGTCTATATGATTAAAAAATTCAGAAATAATATCTATGTCCCAGCCAGGAGACTCCAAACATAATAAACCCTTTACTATGACGTCTTCCCGTCCGTGCACCACTTCTGACTCCACTCTCGGATTTTCTAATTTCGGTAGCCATGGATCTTTCCAAACCTTAATCAAACTCCCATCACCCACCCTCCAACGCAATCCCTTTTTAACCATCTCTTTAGCCTCCCAAAGACTTCTCCAAATAAAAGAAGGGTTGTGGCCAACTTTAGCCTCTAAAAAAGAATTTTTGGAGAAATATCTAGCACGAAAAACGGAAGCTGCTAAGCTGTTTGGATTTTGCATAAAATTCCACACTTGTTTCTCTATCATTGCCAGATTGAACTCCTTAAGCTTTCGGAAACCCATACCTCCCTTTGACTTTGGTGAATTCATTCCCGCCCTTCTCCTTCCACTTTATACCATGCCCGGATGAGCCAGTCCACCAAAATTTATTCATTAACTTTTCCAGCTCCGCATAATGCTCTTGAGGAAATCAGAATACCTGCATAGCATAGCTGGGCATAGACTGTACCACGGCTTTTAGAAGGACCTCACGTCGTGCTCTTGAAAGAAACTTATGATTCCAACTATTAAGCCTCTTGATAACCCTTTCTTTAATAAAGGCCAAGACTTCCTTCTTACTTCTTCCCACAAGCGATGGCAGATTTACTTTATGGTTTATTCCCTGGAGATTGAACAGGCAGTGGAAAGACAATCACTTTCAATAAGATGAATAAAGGCTGGTTTGTTAGCAACATGTGAAGTGCTTCATATGTTGCTAATAATTTTTTTGGAAACTTGATCCATAAGTCGCTGTGATATAACATCTATTTCCTGCTACAAAATTCCACGCTACTACTCCAACTAAAGGGTAGGAGGGAGATAACAACTTCATTACTGGGTGGTCTTTTGAAACGCAGCCTGCTACAACTTGTCAACCACTTTAAGGGTCCAAGGGCCCTTCTTTTACAAAAAAAACTACCATTGTTTTAACAAAGCTTTATTAAACAGTGTTTTTGCTTGATTTTGTGCAATAGTATTTCGTATATGTACAGTAATATATTGACACTTTTCATATATATGGACATAAACACTACCACAAGCATAGGTATGAACCCTCCATAAATTTAGATCTTTTCTAATGCATGTGAAAAATTCTGCAGGAAATTATCTGAAAAAAATCTTTTTATTGACCCGTCCTCATTTATCCTCCTGCATCTTTACTAAATGCTGGCGCAGCTAATGGGGCAATGTCGTGCTCGGATGCAGCCCCAAGTTTGATAAAAATGTTTTACTTTATTTGTAGATAAAGTAACTTTTCAAAAATTACTATAGGAATGCATTACTTTATTTGGTCTATCCAACATGATTTTCCCCATCTTACTGTATGATGATTATTGAAATATTGTTTCAATCATTGATTTTCCTCATCTCACTTAGCAGTGTTATAAGTTTGGGACATATTTATTTTTTTTGCTTTTCTAAATTCTTTGATTTCGGTGAAGATTATATAATTGAGTTGGAATGTTGTTTACAGTTTCTAAGAGTATGATATGATTGTAAAGTGAAATTAACGATCTTGGTTCTATTTATATATGCCAAGGTCATATGGCAGGCATATTTTCACTTAGTTTTAGTCCTAAAATATTTAGGATTTTTTTGCCACTTCAGACTTGTGTTGATTATTTGGCGATTTTGTCTATTATTGGTTGTTGGCTGCTGATATTTGATGCTTTAAATTTCACTTATCTTTCCCAAATTGCTGGAGGCCAATATCTCAATTGATATAGCAATGTGGCATATTTGCATGAAGGTGCACATAGCTTAAATTTGCATTTTATTACAAGATCAATATGCTTATTAGCTTATGACTTGCTTCCTATTCACACGTAATTTTTTTATGTTCAACCAAATACTACATGCAGCTTTCTAACTTGGAAAATTAACACCCATTTTCTTGCTTATTTGAGATCCTATGTAATCCCTTAGAGATCCTATGTCGTAGCTTGCTTAGAGTATATTCCCCACTTTGAGGCGTTTGTGTTCTTCCCTCTCAGGATGGAGAAGAATAAGAAGACAGCTTCATCCGAGAAAGCTGGTACCTTCACCGACAAATATGTAATTGATCCAAATCAGCCCCAGCCCCAGGTTATGATGAATAGCAAGATAATGGTAAAATGATGGTTGATGTTGACATCAACACAGTTCTCACTTCTCGAAGAGGTTGAAGAGACGAGTAGGGAGGAGGAAGCAGTGAACCAGAAAACAGAGGGTAGAAGAAATGAGCATAAAGAGGTCAGTGCACAGAAGGTGTCTGAGAAAGAGGTACGTGAGTACACAGAGGTCTTTGGCTGAGATACATATCAACGGAGGAAGATTTTGTCAACCTTTCAGACAGCACGGAATGTGATCGCATCTCAACACAGGGATACTGGCTAGTGGGATGCTTTACAGGCACTTTCTCAGTATGTGGGCTATTCATCTTCTCATGGAAACCCGGGGAATTAGATGTAAATTGGTAACACATGAACCAGGTTTGGTTGTCTTTCAGATAAAAAATGAAGAGGATTGAGCAAAATTTCTTATGGAGGGGCCTAATGTTGTTACGGGGAGAGCACTAATGTTAAAAAAAAGCAGGCACGGTTCATTTATGATGATGAGGAGTTCTTGAGAGTACCCATGTGGACTATACTGCCTCAACTACCTATGGATTGTTGGAAGGAGGAGATATTAGGAAGATCCCTTCAAGAGTTGGCTTGCCTATATTCACTCACGGTATTACTAGTGAGTAGTGACAACTGACAAGATGAGATCGGATTATGCTAGAATATTGGTGGGAGTTGATGTTTCTAAGCCTCACGCTTTGTTTGTCGATATCAACATTATCAAGCTTCCCTCTAGGCGGAACAGAAGACAATTCATCATCTATGAGACCTTCCCTAATTACCGTTTTCACTATATAAAGCATGGACATCATATAGTTCAGTAAGAAAAAAAGCAATTGGGGAGGATCATATAGTTACTACACTATTGGGGAGATTTTAACTCTGGTAGACAGTAGACACTGAGCTGGGGGAGAACAAGGCTAATGATATTGTAAGGGATGATGCGGTACCAGAACCCAATAATATCGAAGGAGCTAACATCTTACCTAATCCTTGTGAGGAAGTTTCTGCTATAGCAAAGG